GGCTTAATGCTAAGCAGACTGGGCATTCCAAATTTTGGATGGTCACTGAGATACATACGAATTTGCAAAAAAAAACCCAACAAACCCTATATTTGTAATTTAGAGAAAGAGTCCAATACTATAAAGAGGCTTGAATCATGAAATATTTTGCTTGAATATGAAGTTGGTTGTTTGCTGAATGTGAGAAGACAATATATGATGGAAGTAAAACATGCATGATACTAAATGAAATGTTCAGTAAATAACTCACCATTGGAACAGGAAAAAGACAGAGATGTGGGATGTCTTCTTGGTGTTAGATATGTTAATAGAGTTGTGGATATGTTTGCCTTTTGCCTTGTCAGTGATGCCAAGTTTTTGATCAAAAACCTGAACGATTTATAGTGAATATTAGACAGATTATATTTTATTTATATAAAAGTAGGGGGGGCAGGACTTACCCTTGGGCTTGGTCTGTATTGAAGGGAGAAGGCTGGTGAGGGTGGGGGTACTCCGGGGAGGGGAGAAGGTCGGAGCATCCCGGTTATGACTGGGATGGGCAGATATGGTGGGAGCCGAGGGGCAGGCCATCTTTGGGGAACGAGGACTCGCTATATTAGAGCGATTCCTTGTTCCGGCCCCTCAAAAGGCTCATCCTGTAGTACTGGTGACAGGGGAGTACAGGGCCCTAGTTGTAGGCTGCTGTTGCTTAATGCCAGGTCCGTTGTCAACAAAGCCTCCCTTGTCCGTGATTTAATATTGGACAGCGGGGCGGACCTGGCATGTATAACCGAAACCTGGCTGGGCCCTGAGGGGGGTGTTTCCCTCTCGGAGATGTGCCCGGACGGGTTTGTAGTGCTTCATCAGCCTCGACATCAGGGCAGGGGTGGGGGAGTGGCAGTCATCGCTCGGAAGTCCTTGAGTCCTCATGGGATTCCTGCCCCGGAGGTTGTTGGGTGTGAGTCCCTCCAATTGAAGTTGGGTTCATGGGTTCAGTTGGGCTTGCTGCTGACGTACCTACCTCCCATCTGCGTTGCAACAGCCCTGCCTGCATTGCTGGAGTCAGTAGCCGGGTTGGCGGTGGAGTTCCCCAGACTTATGGTACTGGGGGACTTTAACCTACCATCACTCGGCGATCGCTCAGAGGCAGCGCAAGAGTTCATGTCTTCCATGGCAACCATGGACCTGACCCAGGTAATTCAGGATCCGACTCATAGGGGTGGTCACACACTCGACCTTGTGTTTCTCTCGGGGCAATGGAGACATGATCTGGAATTAAGGGGAATAGAGATCTCGCCCTTGTCATGGACAGTTCATTTCCTATTGAGGCTGGACTTCAGAGCATCACTCCCCCATCGCAGGGAGAGGGAGCCGACTAGGTGGTTCTGCCCCAGACGCCTAATGGACCCATAGCGGTTCCAGGAGGAGCTTGGGGAAATACCTGACTCCCTTGTCCACAACTCGTCCGGGTCCCTGGTTGTGACCTGGAATGAGGTGGCGTCCGGGGCCCTGGATCGAATTGCGCCTTTGCGACCTCTCTGTGGTGGTGGTCCCCGGAGGGCGCCTTGGTTTACTGAGGAGCTCCGGGAGATGAAGCGCCACAAGAGAAGTCTAGAGCGACGTTGGAGGGCCAGTAACTCTGAATCTGACCGATCACTATTAAGAGCCTATCTTAGGACTTATTTAGTGGCGATAAGGGCGGCAAAGCGTGTTCACTTTTCCGCACTTATTGCGTCCGCAGAATCTCGCCCGGCCGCCTTGTTTAGGGTGACCCGCTCCCTTCTTAAAGTGGAGGAGGCGGAGGAACCCTTGCAGGGGAGAGCTGAGGAGTTTGTTCAGTTTCTTTCGGACAAAATCGCTCAGATTCAGAGAGACCTGGACTCCGACTGGGCAGTGCCAGCTGAGTTGCCGGGGGCTGGTCTTAGTCATGTTATCTGGAGCGAGTTTGAGCCTGTGACCCCTGATGAAGTGGACAAGGCCGTGAGGGCAATGAATGCCGCCAGCTGTTTATTGGACCCGTGCCCCTCCTGGCTGGTTTCTGCCAGTAGGGAGGTGACATGAGGCTGGCTCCAGGCGATAATCAACGCCTCCTTGATGGAGGGGTCTTTCCCGCAACCTTTAAAGGAAGCGGTGGTGAGGCCCCTCCTCAAGAAGCCTTCCCTGGACCCAGCTGTTTTGAAGAACTTTCGTCCTGTCTCCAACCTCCCCTTTGTGGGGAAGGTTGTAGAGAAGGTGGTGGCGTCCCAACTCTTGCGATCCTTGGATGAAACTAATTATCTGGACCCTTTTCAATCTGGTTTCAGGCCCAGCTACAGCACTGAGACTGCTTTGGTCGCACTGACCGATGACCTCTGGCGAGCCCGGGATAGGGGTCATTCCTCTATCCTGGTGCTTCTTGACCTCTCAGTGGCTTTCGATACCATCGACCATGGTATCCTTCTGCGTCGTCTCGGAGAGGTGGGAGTGGGCGGCACCGTATTGCAGTGGTTCTCCTCCTACCTCTCTAACAGGTCGCAGTCGGTGTTTGCGGGCGGACAGAGATCGACCCATAGGCGCCTCGATCATGGGGTGCCTCAGGGCTTGGTCCTGTCCCCCCCTCCTTTTTAACATCTACATGAAACCGCTGGGTGAGATCATTCGGCGACACGGGGTGAAGTATCATCAGTACGCGGATGATACCCAATTATATATCTCCACCCTGTGTCCTTTCAGTGAATGTGCCGGTGCCTGGAAGATGTGAGGGTCTGGATGGGGGTGCCTGGAAGATGTGAGGGTCTGGATGGGGGTGAACAGGCTTAGACTCAACCCTGACAAGACCGAGTGGCTCTCGGTCTTGCCTCCCAAAGGTCAACTGGATGGTCCATCATTAGTCCTGGGGGGGGGGCAAATTTACCTCCCTCAGTGCAGGCACCAACTTGGGTGTCCTCCTGGACTCACAGCTAAATTTGGAACAACATCTATCGGCTGTGGCCAGGGGGACCTTTTCCCAGGTTCGCCTGGTGCACCAATTGCGGCCTTATTTGGACCGGGAGGATTTACTCACGGTCATTCATGCCCTTGTCACCTCAAGACTGGATTACTGTACCGCGCTCTACATGGGGCTACCTTTGAAGAGCGTTTGGAGGCTGCAGTTGGTTCAGAATGCAGCCGCGAGAGCGATTGTGGGCGCGCCAAGGTACGCCCATGTGTCACCTATCCTCCGCGAGCTGCACTGGCTTCCTGTGGGTCTCCGGACGCAATTCAAGGTGTTGGTTATCACCTTTAAAGCCCTTCATGGCATAGGGCCAGGTTACTTACAGGACCGCATACTGCCGCACAGTTCCCAGAGACCGGTGAGGTCCCATAGATTGGGCCTCCTTCAGGTCCCGTCAGCCAGACAATGTCGGCTGGCGGGCCCTCGGGGAAGGGCCTTTTCTGTGGTGGCTCCAACCTGGTGGAATCAACTTCCCCCCGAGGTTCGAACTACTCCCACCCTGCCGGCCTTTAAGAAAGCCATTAAAACTCTCCTGTTCCAGCAGGCCTGGGGCTGATGTCCCGGGGGGGGGCGGGATATGATCGGACATGCTGTATGATTGTATTATTTTATTGTTTTATTGTTAGATGATTGTTTTAATTTTGTACGCCGCCCTGAGTCCTTTGGGATTGGGCGGCATATAAATAAAATTAAATAAATAAATAAATATTTTATTTTATTACAATTGAATATTAATGCATTTGTACTATTAATAAAAGATATGCAGATCACACCACTTTAATGGCAGAAAGCGAAGAGGAACTAAAGAGCCTCTTGATGCGGGTGAAGAAGGAGAGTGCAAAAGTTGGCTTGAAACTCAACATTAACAAAACCAAGATCATGGCATCTGGCCCTCTCAATTCTTGGCAAATAGATGGGAAAAAATGGAGGTAGTGACAGATTTTATCTTCCTGGGCTCCAAGATCACCACAGATGGGGACTGCAGCCAAGAAATTAAAAGACGCTTGCTCCTGGGGAGGAAAGCTATGGCAAATCTAGACAGCATACTAAAAAGCAGAAACATCACCCTGCCAACAAAAGTACATATTAGTCAAGGCCATGGTTTTCCCAGTTGTAATGTACGGCTGTGAAAGATGGACCATAAGAAAGGCTAAGCGCCAAAGAATTGAGGTCTTTGTACTATGGTGCTAGAGAAGACTCCTGTGAGTCCCCTGGACTGCAAGGCGATCAAACCGGTCAGTCCTAAAGGAGATCAACCCTGACTGCTCTTTAGAAGGCCATATCCTGAAGTTGAAATTCAAGTACTTTAGCCACCTAATGAGAAGGAAGGACTCACTGGAGAAGATTGAGGGCAATAAAAGAAGGGGACGACAGAGAATGAGATGGCTGGATCGAATCACTGAAGCAGTAGGCGTGAGCTTAAATGGACTCCAGAAGATGGTAGAGGACAGGAAGGCCTGGAAGAACATTGTCCATAGGGTCGCGATGGGTCGGACATGACTTCGCAACTAACAACAACTATTAATAAAGCAAAACCTCTAGGAATAGCAATAACACTTAAGACTTATATACTGCTTCACAGTACTTTAGTCTCTCTAAGCATTTACAGAGTCAGTGTATCATCCCCAACAATCTGGGTCCTTATTTTACCAACCTCGGAAGGATGGAAGGCTGAGTCAGCCTTGAGCTGGTGAAACTCGAACTGCCAAACTGCTGGCTGTTGGCAATCAGCAGAATTAGCCTGCAAAACTGTATTCTCACCACTGCGCCACCATGGTTCATACAAGTTCTCTAACAAGAACTATACAGCACAAACTAAAGATAATATGATTTAATTTTAAGTTTACTGTCAGCTTTTTAAAACATACACATATTTTATCTTTATTCTGTAACATTTTTTATAATTCTATATTATTTGTTCTAATTTCATATTTAAGTTTTACTAAGGGCGGGTTTAATTTCTCTGATAAAAGTTGATAGATCAGATACAATAAAAGATTACTTAAAATTGCAAAATAATTTTTATCATATTAAAAAAAAAACTTACCTGAAACTGTTTCTCATCAGTCTTTCGGACAGCTGTAGAATCAAACAAGACTTGTCTGCCCCGTCTTTCACAATCTTGATACACTATCAAGCGGATTTCATTTAGATCAAACCCAGAACAGGACCAGCTATGAGTTTTTAGTACAAAAAAAAAATGAAGAGAATTATGCAAGAATTTTTTTCCCCTAGCAAATCCATCAGTCTGCAGTGAAAAGAGTTAATCTAAGGAATGTGAATTCAGAGATCTAGTTTACAGTAGAGAAGAAGATAACACAACAATCCATCAAATATTACAAAGAAATTGCAAAAATATCCAAGAGTTACATCTCAGACTCTACAAGCCTCAGTTAGCAGTTAAATGTTGAAATTCATGACTGTACAATTAGAAAACGACTGAATAAGTATGGTTTGTTTGAAGAGTTGTCAGGAGAAAGCCTCTTCTCTCTAAAAGGAAATGGCAGCATGGCTTAAGTTTGCAAAGTTGCATTTTAACAAATTACAAGACTTCTGGAACACTTTCCTTTGGACTGACGAGACCAAAGTGAAGATGTTTTCCCATAATGCACAGTGCCACATTTGGTATCAGCACAAACATCTTATACCAACTGTCAAGCACAGTAATGGAAGAATAATAATTTGGGCTTCTTTTGAAGCCACAGGACCTGGGTACCTCGGAGTTATTGAGTCAACCATGAACTCCTCTGTATACCAAAATATTCTAGAGTCAAATGTGTCAGCGAAAGATTGACCAACATTGGGTCGTGCAAGAGGATCTCAGCCACACCAGCAAATTTACCACAGAATGGTTGAAAAAGAAAAGAATCAAGGTGTTTCAATGGCCCAGTCGAAGTCCAGACCTCAACCTGATTGAAATGCTGTGGCGGGTCCTCAACAGAGCTATGCATAAACAAATGCCCACAAGCCTCAATGAACTGAAGCAATGTGGTAAAGAAGAGAGGGCCAAAATTTCTCCACAACGATATGAGGGAGTGATAAAATCATACAAAAAAATTGATTACTTCAAGTTATTGCTGCTAAAGGTGGTTTTACATGCTATTGAATCATAAGGTACACTTTTCACACATGGCTTCTGTATTTTGGCCTTTTTGTAAAATAAATGATAACATAGTGTAGTATGTCAAGTGTTGTTGTTCATCTGACGTATTTATGTACTTTTAAGAATTGCTAAGGACTAGATAGTTTTTACTTTGTCCTGATATGTAAAACCAGGGTATACTTTCTTTTTCACATGACTGTACCTATATCAGACAAAGAGAATGTGCTACAGCATCTTCAATTCTTCACTGCAATTAGTATTTTATTCTATTTTGTAAGTATTTCTATTCCACTAAACAATGGCCATACAAAGAATTTAAAATAGATATGCAATAATCATCTAGTTATTTTGAGTGAAAGTACACTGTCCTAGCTACTAGAATTTCTGAGAGTTGCTAGATGATTTGAACAATACAATCCTTAAACTAGTGATCAGGAATTATGTAAAACAATAAAAAACACTACAGTTAGGCTACTTATTTAGAGCTTTCAAAATATCATTCAAAATATTTTATCATCATAGGATAATATATTTATTAGAACAATCTGTGAACAAAATGGGATTTACATTTTAATGCAGATTTAGCAAATCTGCAACCTCTAAACCTGGAAATTTTAAAAACACATTTTTTGTTATTTATGCTTCTGAATGTTTGTTCCTAAGCAAACAGTAAATATGTATAGATTTTCATGCAGGCAAACACAAACTGATGCAGAAATGGAATGGAACAAATTAAAAATGAAAAAACATGCAATTGAATGCAATATATTCAACAGAAATTGCACAATAATTTAATATTTAAAAAAAACTTTCAGTACTGAAAAGAATAATCACAGATGATTGCCTAGAAAAGAACATGTGTGATAATAAAAATGCAAAAAAGTGAAACTGCCTCCCAGTCCACTCAAAGCCAGTTTTACATTAAACTTTCATACCTTTTAGATAGTTCTCCAGTAAACCTCTTTGAAAATTTGGAACTCTTTTCTGCCACAACTGATTTCTTTGCCTTATCCACTCTTGGTGTTGAAAAGCTATTCACTAGTGAAGTAGGGGAACAATGACTTGATTTCTGCGCCTGGTTGCCTATACTGTTAGATGATTTTGATGTACCTCCACACATTTTCAATTCAAGACATGCTGTTATAGGCATGATTTCTTCAAAATAATGATTTTATATTTAAGTATCCACAGAGATTACTGTGTAATAAACTACTCATGAAAGAAATGTCAGACAAAAATTGGCTAGCACTGATTTGGCCTTTTTAAGAAAAAACAAATCACAGCTGAATATCTTCTGCAATCAGTATTACTTCTTTAGATAAAATTTAACCATTTACTATTAAAAGTTATAGCAATAACTTCTTTAAAAACATAGAATAACTTGCTTGTTCTTATAAATGCTGCCAGTTTTGTTGCTAGCAAAGAAGAACTCTGATAGTCATGCTTCCTGGTTTGTTTCTGTAACTAGCAATTATTATTTGATCACAAGACCTAACCAGATGGCCTTCAACAGAAAGGTAGCTGCTTTCTCACTGACTCTTCAGTTGCAAACTTGTTTTAAAACAGGAGGCAACACCCTCTTAATGGTCTCATGTGAGCAAGTGTCATCTGACAGCTCTTAGCAACCTTGTGTCTCAGCACCATCTCTTCAAGGTAAACAGGAACCTGCCACCAATGCTACAGGTTATCTGTAAGAAATGATTAACACAAAAAAGAGACCTTCTGCCACATTCAGACTTTTGGCTCTAATGCGATTAACATTAGCAACTTGTTTACTATCAGTAACAAAGAACAATCTCAATACAGTAAGAAGAACTCAAAAATTGTTCTTTGTTTCATTTTATTAGTTCTGAAGAGGTGTAAGGAATGACTAACCATTTACACTTAAATGATCTTAAAAACAAACGTTCAAGTAAACATGAGTTATGAAATTTAAAATAATTGCTTGTTTCTGGGTCGCACATACATACATGGATGGAATGCAAATTAAAACACAAGGGTATTTGCAATGGGGGGAGTCCATTAGCTGGGAATGAGTACAAATGAAAAACAGTGTGGCACTAACATGAGGCAAGCTCTGCCACCTTTGTACATGTGGCATATCCTGTGTATGTACAAAAGAGAAGAGCCTGCATTGCAACAGGTCAATGTTGCTTTCATATTTTGATAAAAAGTGTTTGATTCTCCAAGTATCTATGTCAGCAATACAACAAAAATGTGAACAGATTTGTTCAGTAACTGCCTCTGTCCACCACACTTTTGAAATGCTTTTGAAAAATAATTAAACATTTAATCTCAACAAAGAATATGACTTTCTGCATGATGCAAATCACAGTGTATACCAAAGTGTTATATTAGAATTAGCAACTGTCTTATTTAATGACCATTTGCAGTTGTGATGATGATGGAAAATAACTTTATTATCAGTCCTCACTAAACAGACTTTGGAAGTCTGTAAGACAAGAGAAAGCTGAAGTAAGATCATAAGCACAGACATGGTTTCACTTAGCAACTGTTTCGCTTAACGAAGTTGCTGGTCCTGATTATTGTTGCTAAATGAGAACTATCTGTATTTAGAAGACCTGCATAACCATCCTACAAGACAGCTACTTTAAAACAAAAATTACTCCAAATATTTCTAGGAAGAACCAACAATTGTGCAGGAAAGCTACTGAAGAATATGCTAGTCCCAAACTATGTTATGATTAAGGCTATATGTGATATTCAAATGCACCCAACTAGTTTCTTCAAATACAGGTAAAATTAATTGCTAGCTTTGTGTTCTGTTCTAAGAATAAAAATTGAAAATCTAGGGAGGATTCACCAAATGAAAGCTAAGTCTAAAGCTGAAAAACAAAGTATACTAGTTCAGCACATCACAGTACTGAGGGGAATAGATTAACAGCACAACATCACAACAAGAAGGTCTAGGCCAGGAGTGTCAAACCCGCAATGTCATGTGACGTGTGGCGACATATCGTGACTTTTTTTGCATTGCTGGCAATGGGGTGGGATGCCATGACGGCAATTTGACACCCCTGGTCTAGACAATCAAGGAAAAGTTTGGTCAAAGCTGCTCACAAAAGAAGACTTTAGTTGTTAGCAACCCTGTAGTAGGCAAGACTTTATGCTGACAGAGTTTTCCTAGAAACTCTACTGTTACTAACTCAATTAGAAAATGGAGAATTTGTTTATCTTGCAAGCCCTGTGTTTCAGGCATAGGTTATTTGCTCTCCTCTTTTCTGGCCCTGATACACTCCATTCATTCATTCTACCATGAATCCAGCAGTTTCTTTTCAACTCTTCTCAGATTCTTTATCATCTCATTTTCTCTGAGATGAAAATGGTAATTTTAAACTCTGATTCCAAAATCTCTAATGGATGTTGAACAGTCTCTATAATATATGTATAAGTTGAATTAAAAAATACTGTGAGATAAATCAAATTCAATTTTACAATCTATAAGTTTTAAAAACTGCACCATCAGAAGTCAACTGATCTAAAATACTAATATTACAAGAGGCCCAGTTTACCTCCCAAAATAGATTTATTGGCTTTTTTTAAACTGATGTTTATCTATATAACATGAACATTTCATGAATAATGAGATAGATAATAGATGACTGGTAGGTAAGGAAAGAGGGATGTTATAAAATAGATTTCATTGTCTGCCATGATTTTGATGGGGTCAAGTAGTAACTTTCAAGGTGAGCCCAGAAAGAATTTGAATTCTGAAATGTCTTGTCCTAATCAGTAACCTAAATTAAAATGAATTGTTAACTATTGGCTTGTAAGCATATAAATTTAAAGCATTTTTTCCAACAACTGTGTGTATGCAATGAAAAACCTTTAATAATGCACATGGCATAGAATTATTTAACAATATATAAATTCACTATAAATTATGTAAAATAATGTAAATTAGTTTTGAGATTAAACTGCTAGTTGAAACAACTTTGTGGGAATAAAAATACCCCAAAATCAGAACCCAAACTATATTCCAAATACTTAAGCAAGTCCAAATTATTAGCAATTCTAGGAAGATCAAGTCTAATTCATTCCAATTTATATTTATTCATTTATTAAACAGATTTATATACAATGAGGGAAAAAATTATTTGAACCCCTGATGATTTTGTACATTTGCCCACTGACAAAGAAATGATTAGTCTATACAGTGGCTGTCCAATTCACACATAGTGACAATTTATACAGTATTGTAACCTGAACTAATATGAAACTTTATCACTATCTCAAACAAGAATGTTTGTGAAAATGAATTTCTGGTTTATCTATAAAATAGTTAGATTATACATTTTATAGATGCCTTCCTTAAAGTCCTTTAATATTTTCAGCATTCAAGAGTTTCTAAAGCTATGTTAAAAAGGAAAAACAGTAAATTTTGACATGTTTAAAAACATCAGTTCAACCAATGAGAAAGCATATTACTTGTAATTAAACATAATTCAAGAATAAAATAAACTATATTAATGGATATATTAAATGCTGGAAAAACCAATCAGGTTCCATATCAGAGACCTCCAAGAAGCTACATCAAAAGGATTCCAAATATTCTAAGTTAAAGCAAATTCATCAAATGAAAATATTTTATCCAGAATTTGATGGCCTCATGTAAATTTAGTCTAAATTGGAATCACTGTTCTATTATTATCTACCAATTGTTGGGTACTTATTAATACCTACATTTATCAATGAAATTTCCCTATAAATTGGATGCACTGTAGATTAAGTTTAGAAAGGACTGTAACTGAAACTGGGGAGGTAACTGGAAGAATCTTCAGTGGATAAACATAATAAAATAGGAGATAATATATATGAGATAATCAACAAAGCTAGGAGATTTCCCCAATTTCATAATTCAATTGGTCATAATTTCTTGGAAAGAGAGGCATTATGAGATTAATCATTTAGCCTTATGATTGCTGTAGTACATTCACTATTTTAAAAAAATCATCTGTGGATAAGCAACTGAGACTATACAATTTGGTATAAATTTTTTAAAAAACAATAGCAATAATAGATTTATAATCAGTACATAGTTTCCTAAACTTATCATGAATTAAGGATGCAGTATTATATTGATTTATCACAAATATACATGTTTACATATATTATTTATAGAAATCATGTATTAGGGATGACATATCGTAAAAGTGCATCAGGCGAAGTGTGTATAACAATACTTATATAAATTACATAGGATAGTTGTGAAAAATACTTAACATAATCTATATAAGTGTAGTTTGGATTAAAAAACATGATTTACTGAGAAATTAGACAGAAAAAACACTGTATTGTAGTTTTGCATGCAATACTGACATGAAAACGATTTCCACAAATCTATCCATTGCTGCTTTCCCATACAAAACAGTCATATACAGATTTAAGGATTAGCAGAATTTTCAGAAATATATATTTGTTAATATTAGTGTTTTAAGTCTGCTGCATCAAAATTAATGTTTTGTTATACATAAGGACCAATCAATTTTTCTACGTAAGAAATATGTAGTTGTTAACCTCAGTCCATGATATGTATCTGATAAAGCAGTGGTTCTCAACCTGTGGGTCGGGACCCCATTTGGGGTCGAATGACCATTTCACGGGGGTCGGCAAAGAACGCAGTCCGCCATTTTTCCCCCCTTTTCCTTAGCTATGCTACTCCCTTTTATTCTATTGGCTTTTGAAATCTTGAATAGAGTCTAATTCTATTGGCTTTCAAAAGCCAATAGGAATTGTCCAGGCTGTCTCTGCCCTGCTGAGCCCGCCAAAAGTCCCTTCTGCAAAGGGTGCTGCAAGTTGTCTGCAGCGAAGGCGAGCTGTCTGGAAGCTTCTACCCCTCCCTGCTGAGCAACTACTAAAAATGTAAGTAAAAGAGGGCCAGGGGTGGGAGGCTGGCGGGCGCAGGGAGGGTTGCTGGCACGCGTGGGGCCCGGCGGGTGCCTTACCTCCCTTAGGCTGGGCCAGCTGGTGGCCCAGCCAGTGGTCGGCCTGCGCCGTCTCTGCCGCTTGCCAGCTAAGCCTCAGCCGGCGCAGGGGGTGGCACCACGCATGTGCGGCGCTCCTGGGCAGAGAAAGTCCTTGACTTACAACCGGTTGGGTAATCCTTGACTTACGACCAGTTGGGGTCGCGGCATTAAAAAGGTTGAGAACCACTGTGATAAAGTGAACTCTAAGGCACAAATGTTTTTGCAATACACTGGTCAGTTTTCAATCCTTAGAAACAGGCTATGAATTATTACAATTAATGAAAGCAAATTTATATTTCACTGTATATAAAAATTTTGGAACTATTTTGCTAATATTTTAAAGATTACACGGCTTCAATATAAAAGTTTCAATTTTTTCTTGTAAACATATGAAGATCTGGAGACACATAAAAGTGGTCTTCCTTGCCATAAGAGCACAGAGTATATAGTCACTATGCCATTTGACTTTCTGCTTATACTTCACATTTCTATAGACACAATTTTTTTTCAATAAAGCAGATGCCAGCATCTGAGACAAATGAAGGACATTGTTTCTTTCAGATGATTCCTCATTTCATATATATGGCCAGCTAAGCACAAAGTGCTCAGTAGAATGTATGTCAGGATATATCCAACTTGAAGTTTTTTGCCTGTCATTGAAACCTGGCTAGGTTTTGCCATTTTTGCTCTGACCCCCTCTTCTTTCACTCCTAAGTCTATGACCTTGGCTGTGGATTTCAAACAATAATAATGATGCCACATTCTGCATTGGTTAGATTTCAAACGCCCTTCCTGGGACAGTACAACGACCAGTGAAAACATCCCGTATCTCTAACTGTATATGATGCAAATTCCATTTCTGTTTTTCATTGCAGGCTGATGTCAGCACCTAACCTCTGTGCTACATCTGGAACATCACAGATCAATCTTCCAGAACACACCTAGAATTAGTATCCTGAAAAATGTGCTTGCTAATTTTTTTGCTTGTAGTTCATGGTTTTTATACCCTTCTTCAGAGAGAGGCACTAGAAATTCAATCCATCACTTTGTCACAGACATCAGAATCATGGTAATTTCTATTATAGTTGTCTTTAATAAAAAAATTGTGTACAATGGCCAGTTCAACTGAAACTCTTGTTTCATTATCCTTCAAGTGACATATGTAAAATGTTTAATTAAAAATAGTCCCAAGCGCACCTTGGTACAAAACTTAAAAGAACATATACTATAATTCAGACAATATCTCATGAACTATCTACTAAGCAAAAGAATCCAAACAGTGATCCATAATCCAAATAGATAATGGTTGCTGGCTATATTAAATACTATGGATGAAAACAGATATTATAATGTAATTAAAAGAAGAGAAGCCATGGAAATTTAGCCATGAATTAGGACATGTATTTTGTTTCAATCTTTTCGGGTTTGAATTTGATATTAACCATACCACAATATGCTTATCTTTTGGGGGACTGGCTAAGATTGACTAAGTGCTACCAATCTGCTGTGGCCTAGGATAAATTGATCCTGTGAAATGCATTAAACTGCAACATAATTAATATTTTGCTTCCCTGTTCTGAAAGAAGTTGTCCATTTGAATGACAGTTTTCAAAATACAAAACTCTTAATTTAGCCTTATCCAAACAGGTACCTTCAAATGTGACGACTGAGGGGTTATATGAATTGAAATGCAATAATTTTGGAGAGTGTCAGGCTGATGAAGATAGCTCAAAGTTACAACACCCCTTTTATAGCTGCATTCCTAAATACACTTAAGGTACATTGTGTGATGGAATTTTAGGACTTCCAACTAAAATCTGTGCTGCAGAAAGAATTAGATGTCCATCAATTTATGTAAGTATCCACACACATAGGAATTTTATATTCCATGACCCCAAAAGGACAAGAATGTTTCAGATCTATTAACTTCAATATTCCCTACTGATAACATGGGAATAATACCATATTAAACATGTTAAGGGGATTTTTTTTGAATATTTCAGATAACTAACCTCCTGCAACACCCAGTTTTAGTAGGAAAGGCCAATTCAAAAGTATAACCAACAGAACCAAATCCCAATGCTAAGTCTACTGTGCTCACTCCAAAGAATTCATTAACATATTTCAAAACAAAACCAAATCTATTGATAATGCCAAACTGTTTACTTTTAGTCATACTGTTTACCCTGGTGTTTTTAATTTCCCTCATAATTATATACATTTTCTTACGGCCACTTGTCCACACTCATGTCTTTCTCAAACTAGAATTTATCACATTGTCCTTACTATTCTAAAGGAAAAAAGAAAGTTTTACAATTTTAATATATTTAGAGCAAGTGTTTTATACACCAAATATCTTAAGATTAAAAACAAGCTGGTTTGTCTTAAGCCACAATTTAATTGTGATTGCATTGTAAGCCACATTGGCTGTATTGGTTGAATCTGCATACTATAATAAGCAAAAAAACACATTAAGGGCTAATGTGATGTGCAAAACCAGCCTCAGCATTGCCTACATTGCAATAAAATTCATTTACAACTTTCTTTTCTTTACTGGCAATGAAGAATTGCCAAATACGTAATGAACTGTTCTCTCACATATGGTTTTATTTTACATGGATAGAATCTCTAAGCATGGCAACATAGCCTGAATAGTAATTTGCAATCAACTGCCAAATGAATGAGCTTATTTACTGATGCCAGTGTTAATACTGTTAACAGCTACTAAGATAATGCACAATAGTAATAAAACATCCATTTAACTGAAAATACTACAAAGAACCAGAATGAAGTATTCAAGCTAAAGTTATTTAGTGATTGAGCCTGTCCTCTCTTGAGCTGTTTTTTTTTACAAAAATGTTTTACTTCAAGCAAACTTATTATAGAGTCTTTCAAAAGTATTTTGATATTTTACTTCCCTTATTTATTTTTTCAGGTTTATAAGCCACTTTAAATGCAACCTATCCAAATCAAATATTAAAATAGTAAATTACACAAATTCACAAAATTATTAATCCCACTGAACTGAACACAGTAATCACAAACTGCAAGGAACATCTACTTCATTCCCTGAAGGCTTCTTGGAATAACCAGGTCTTAATAGCCTTCCTAAATCCTAATAAAATCCAACCTGCATTATTTTGATAAGAATTCTGTTCTGTAGGCTGAGGTAGCAATGGAGGCAGCTGCCAGATGATGCCAGCCCAAGCAATCAGAATAGCGCTGGAAGGGATCTTGGAGGTCTTCTAGTTCAGCCCCCTGCTCAAGCAGGAGACCCTATACCATTTCAGACAG